GGGTGGAGTAATGGAGCCTTTCAGTACAGTTCAAATAAAAAGAAAATGTCTCAGCTTTCAGTGCCCGACAGAGGAATCTGCACCAATGCAGCTGTTTTCACAGCGGCCGCACCGGGTCCAGTCTGCAGCCAAACACTTAGTCCATTAGAGAGGAAGAACAATGGGTTAGTAGTAGTGAAAATACACAGTTAGTGAAAAATATGGTCAATATATTTGAAAACGACAGAACACACTTATCTAAATGTGTCAATTTAGATCTGAGTTGGTTTCCTGAGATGTTAAAACACATCTGAACTTTGGAGTGGACCAAACATGAGATCACTGGAGCTACAGACGATGGATTTCCTGGTGAGAGGGGCAATACTACAATACCCCTGATGAGCAGCTGTTGAAACTGCACTGCGTTGTCAAGGTGTTGGGTTTGGACTCAGCAAACTGGTGTGAAAGGAGTGATTCAAAGTTTGAACACTCAAGACTGTTTGACTTTACCTCGTACGTAGAGATTGGCAGGAGCAGAGTAACGCGTCCCGGCGCTGTTGGAGGCCACACATTCGTACTTGCCCTGGTCCGACTCTTCACTGTTCTCAATTTGTAGAGCCCCTGCAGAAAGAAGGGACACGTTTAGAGGTCTTGGCATTAGAGGATTAAAAAAAAAGAACATTTGCATGAAATCTAACTGATAAAACCTAGTTATTTTTAGTTATTATTAAAATTATTTATTAAGACAATTGTGCACACCGCAGCACTCTAATCTGCCAATTCAGCATTTTTCTGATTAGAGAGTATTGACCATGAAGAGAGCGGGGGTCAGTTATTAATTTGCATAACATGGCACAATAAATACAGAATAATTAGGTCTTGTGTTTATATTATTTCTTAAGGTTATCTTCCCTCCCACCTGTTAGAACCCAGTGAGGCTACACTGCACAACTGATGACACAGCTTAAATATGTTAAGAAGGGAAAAAAACACTAATGTAATCGCAGCTCATGACTAAGCCATTTCACTGAGTCAACATTTGCTCCACGGCCTGTTGTACGGCCTCAGGTCCCTGTCCCAGCGCAGGTGACAATGAGGCGGTGAGAACGTCAGTGTGTTCTTTCATTACCACCTACTTGACCACGTTTCACTGAAGCCCCGCGGGGACATGCTCCTCTGCCAAATGGCTGAGATTAGCATTCACAATCCCAAGTAGCTGCAGTCATCAGACAGACGGCTAACATGTTGTTTCTAACAAACCATGAAAGCCCCAGAGAGCCGTCTCTGGTTGGTCAGTTTAGCACACAAAGTCCATGACCGCGGGCCTAAAGCTGCTACAGAACTGACGAGGGGCCGACAGATGAGGTCACTTATAATTTGACAGATTAAGAAAAATACTGGCATCAGCAAACTTACCTGCACATTATACCTCAGAAAACGTCTTTTTTCAAAGTGTAAACTCAGTATAAATATACAGTACAATGGTGGAGGATTACAGTTATCATGTCACCAAAACAGCATGGTACTAGGCCGTCAGCCTCCATGCAGTTTGAAAATGACAGGAATACCCAACGTAGGATGATGTCAGGATACATTTTGTTCACATCATGCAGAATGAGATGAAAGCAACAAACAGTTTCACCACCAACCGTAGGGGACGTGCCTGTGGACCGGTCCAAAAAAAGGAAAAAAAAAACAAAGCTGGGTGGGGCAGCGACATATGATAACACCCCCTCAGATCCCATGACCACACACCCCTCCGAGGTGTTTTGCTCTGCTTGCTGAGCTCATCGCTGTCTGCTTCAGCAGCGACATGCAGCTCACACTAATGTTGCTGTCACAAAATGGTCAATCTATCCGCACTCCCACGAGAGACAACAATGTAAGTACTGCAGGAACGTACAAGGTTACCACTCCAGCTATGGAACTCTCCAGTCCTTGGATTACATCCAGTGGTGGTGGGTTTTCTCTGAGGTCGTTTCACTGGTGTACGAGGCCAGAAAACCCTTTGCTGCTGGCATTGGGCTATCTTATAACATTTATTGAACATGGGCTGCATTAGGAGCCAAGGAAGCATAAAGTTCCAGACAGTTTTTTAATGGCCTCACCTTGAACAAGATGTCGACTTTTTACCTCAGTGTTTTTGTCTGAGAATTATGCACTGGCGAAAAAAAAAAAAAATCACAGTGTAGACTTAGTTTCTTTTTCGATGCTGAGGGGCAATGACAGAATGGCAGTAGAGTATGCAAATGCAGGCATTACATTCCTACATTTGGGTGTTCGTAAGGCTGTCCGGCATTACATTCCTACATTTGGGTGTTCTTTAGGCCGTCATTCAGATTGAAAAGTATTTTTATTTTAACATGTCCAATACATTAAATGTGAATTTTTACGTGTTGTACAGACACTAATGTGACGTAACTCATATCCAGTGGCTGTGGAGGAACATGGCCTGCTGTCGCCCCAGGGCTTCGACCTAACACTGTATCAATCCGCCCTCATCCTCCACATAAAGAAAGTCCTCATGGAAGCTACCAGAAAAAACATAAGAAAGACCAGCTTCAGCTGTGAGTTGGAAAGTCTCCACAATTGGTTGAACCCCGAGGAGCTGTCATTAGGGTTGGTGATCATTTGTTTGTTAAGGAGCAGACAGCAGACGGAACATGATCAGACAGATGATGCAGTGAAGAGACGAGTGGGAAGTGAAGGACGGTGGGTTGGCTCCACCGCCGTGGATGTGGCCGAGAATGTGGTATTGTGGGAGAATGCAGAAGGTCTGATACACATGTGAGGGGTGAGGGTGTGGGGGGTGGACTGGATGTGATATCTGGCACCACACTTTATTCATCATCCTTACCTCTAATTGGTGTACCACCTAGGTGGGAGTAATTTTGATGCAAACAGGGTTGAGAGATTAGTTAGAAATCCACTTTGAACAGTGGGAAAAAAGAAAAAACATCTTTTCTGACAATGGCCAAGAATATTTGATTAGTGAAGACACTGCAGTACAATTAGACAAATGTCAGCTTCTTTATCAAAATATTGTTTAAGGACTAAAAACAACAAAGGTTGTGAGAAAGATCCCTTCTTCAGGAAAGACTGAGATTCAACAGTGAACAGGCAACATTTTGGAAGTTGTGTTTTTAAACCGAGGTTCATGATTCAAGGTGATTTAAACACCTTGACTCTGTTCATGTAGATTGTTGTTGTTAGTGAAATGAGTAAGAGGAAGAGAATGAATGGAGGTTCTCAAGAGTAACTGAGCTGCGTGATGCACAGAGAGCAGAAATGTTTAATAAGGATCTCATAGTGATTACGTCGCCTGAAAGAATTTGACTGTAAAACCACAGACTAATACATTGGTGGTTCCTAAACACCAATATTATTAAAACAAATTGGACAAATTAAATTAAATTACACTTAAATTCATTTACTCCACCATGGGATAAAGAAATTGGACTTTGCCGCGCCCTGTGATCACTAAGGGGTCCGAAACCCATTTTGAGAACCACTGGACTCATGTAACGGTGTGTACAACTCTTTTCTTCACTCTGGCAGCTGAATAACACATTTTCTTCATGTATCAGAGAAGTAACCTGATTCCAGGTTGAAAAAAGTCCTGATAATGGCAGCTGATATGAAGAGTTTCTTAGGGGGCGCTGCATATCAGCACCTGAGCAGACATGCTAACTGTGTTTAGGTAGAAGAAAAACTAATTAGGTTTATTTCGGAGGGTGAGTGAAATAAACACATTTGGGGAATTTAGGGGTTCTTATCTGAAATATTCAAATTATAAGAATGTGTAAAGTGGTTTTGAGTGGGAGATACAGTAAACCCTGCAGATGTTCACGTCGACCTGATCTGGTGACTTGAAATCATCTTCCTGTTCTTCTAGACCAGCCCTGATCGTCAAGACCTCAGACCTGAATCCCGTTCAGACTTACTGAGACCAGACCTGGTTCAGAAGGTACTAATCTTTAAATCAATCTGATCCAGGTCAAGTGCACACTGTTTATTTATCATGTGCACTCAAACTGTGAACAAAGCGGAGCTCATTGATTTTATTTTAATTTTTTTCTTTTCAAAGTTGAATCCGAGGTAATACATTATCGACTGACCTCACCGTGACCCAGCTGCGTGTGTAATCAGGGCTGTATTGTTATTGAATAGGAGAGAAATTCACTCTCTGGATAATGAAAGGTTTCAGTGTCAGACGTTGAGAAACATCAACGAGGTTACTTTAAATGTAGATACAGCAGTAAGTTCATTAAACAAAGTGACAACGACAGACTGAATCACCTTTTACGTCTGATTAAGTCAAATGTGCAATTTTAAAAAAACATTTTCAGATCTAACATGAAATACAATCTATTTGTTGGGTTAAATGTTAAACTTAAGATTCTGCAACATTCACTGTTTAGTCTAATCAAATTTAAGATTCTGCAACATTCACTGTTTAGTTCAATCAAATTAAATGAACTTTCACCTGAGCGAAGCTGCTTGATGCGTGGGTTGCTGTTGCTGATTTCTACAGGAAGCATGTCCTTGAACCAGGAGATCTCCGGGTCGGGGTTCCCACTGGCAGCACACAGCATCGTGGCCGTTCTGGTTCTCTCCACCACCTTCAGCTGAGGACCCATGTCGATGGTGGGAAAGCCGTGGGGAATTTGGTTTTCTGGAAGTTTGCAATGAAGAATTCCATTAGGTTGTAGAAAAAAAAACAATACAAAAACAAAAAATAAAAAATATACACTATATATATATATATACATGCACTAACTCTAAGCCTCCTTGAAAGTACAATTTATTTTTTTCATGGTGGAGAGGTTCGAGTGGCCCATGACCCTGGAAGCTATTAAGATGAAAGTGATAAGCCGTTTGTCAGGCTCCCTGACCGATGACTGGTCAGATAATCAGGCATTTTCACTGCCAGACCTATATTTTATATAATAATCTATCACATCATACACCTACAGTACAGCATGTCCAAAGTTTCTAGCTTATAGTACATCGGATAAAGCAACGCACTCTGGGGGGAATATTTATGCAGACACGTGTTCTGGAAATATGGATTTCACGGGAGAAACAGAAATATCAACAGAGGATATTTCCTGCCAAACCGTCCTGTTGCTGCGCATGTAATATTTATGATTAAGATTATTGGCAAATGTCTGTGAGCGGTGAAAAATGCAAACTGTTGGTAAAACAGGGAGAAAGACCCCAAAGGGGTTATTACACGAGTCAGTGGCTCCGTCACATCAGGAAACAGGGAATAATTTAAAAGGCAAACAGCTGCTACACCACGGTGCAGTCCCTCCACCCCGCTCCTGCTCAATGTTTGCAATGCGTGTGAACCATGATAGACATGTCTTCACTGAATGTGATAAGGTGGTTAAAATGTGACAAGTGAGGAATTAAACCCAGGCCCATATGAAGGGTAGAGGTAACCACTGTTATAATAATAATAGTAATAACAATCTAAAATAGTATAAATATTATCAGATGCTGGTGGTGTTCAGTATTCATTGGTTGTAATGTTTGATTCACTGAGATATATTTTCTAAAGCTCAGCAAAAAGCCGTATTGTTAGTATGTTTGGTAATCTTCCAATTTAATCCTATAATCTAATCTCAACGTTATACATGGCGTATGGGGGAAAACAAGTCTTTTTCCCTATGCCTTTAGGAGAGATAGTGTTGAGCCATTGTGTAAGGAATGAGGACTGTCAATTCCTACAACTCCAGTTCCTGCAGCTGGCCTTGTCTGACAACTTGTCATCCCAGGTAGACAAAGATATGTCTTTGTTCAGTCCTCTTCAATTTAAAGAAAAAAGGAAAAGGGGAACCAGGGAGAAAATCCACTGAAATAGTGCAAGCGATGTCGGCATGATGTTTGTCAAGATAGAAGGAGTTTTAATAAAAAAAAAAGTCCCTGTTGTGCTGGAGAGTAATTTATCAAAAAAAAAAAGCTGCAGTCCCCCGTCTAGACAGGCTCGACGAATACGAAAAAGGCAGAAAAAAAAAATCTACTATAATGTCACACAGGTGCTCCATTACTAACGTGAACAATGCTACGGGAGGCAAAACAACGACCAAAAATACTGGCGTCATACGTCACGTGTAGGGTTATTGGATTCCACTTCTAAATTTAACTATCTTTGTTTTTTTGTTTTTAAATCAATGCTGAGTATAACAAAGACTTTGGAAAAATGCAGATGACAAAGTTGAGGGAAGATGATGAGGTCAGAGGCAGGGCCAGAAAATCCGAGCAGCTGAAGACAGGTACGCATGAACTGGTTCCACTCTGAGTTCCAGAGTAAATAAGACCATTGTTCTCTCAACAGCCATGTATTAGGCCCAGTCATTCTGTAATACGAGCAGCTTAGCAGAGTGTTCTCACAGATTCCAGCGACACAGTAGAAAATACAAGGGCAGGAGGAGAAATGATAATGTGATTTTCACATTGTACTGTGAAATTAGAACAGCAGCCAGGACCATAACAGACCCGGGAAAAACCCCAAGAATGCCATTTGTGTAAATAATAAATTAAAGGAGAAACTGCCGAGATGATTATTGGGGGAAATTAAGAAAAGACGACGCAGAAATCGTAAAGTGTTATGATGGGGAGGCGTGGCTCCGCTGTAGCAGCCGCAGGCAAATGAGCTAAGATTTAGATGAGAGCAGGAGGGGAGAGAGGGGAGGCTAAAAGGAGGGCAGGGAGGGGAAGAGAAGGGGGAAAAAGACAGGGTGCATGCCAACCTCCTGCCAGCTCCAATTACCAGTGTGAGTGGAGCGTGGCAGCTAGGGCGATGGGTCTAATCAGAGCCCTGCTGAAAGAGACCCATCCCTGTCCTCCTGTCCCACTGGGAGGCTGCTGGAGCTCAATCCCACAGTAACATCAGCCAGCATTTTCCCCTCAGCCCAAACATACTCATCTCAGGAGGCAAACATTTCACCCGCCGCCCCCTCCCATTTCCCTTCATAACAGGGGAGCCCTGACATACTGCCACAAGATAACACCGCAGCATAACAACCCCTACCTGATTTCCATTTCCGTATTCATAGTTTCCTCCTGATGTCTCACATTCACAGGAGTGTAAAGTGCTGAATTATACGTTCTGTCATGAAGTCTACAGAGAGAACATGGAATCAGGAAACACACAAAAAAAGAAGCACCAGAAATAATTTCCCCAAAACAACACTGCTGCGATGCACTCCTGTTTGTTTCTGCGTCAATGGTCGAGCTCCCAGATGTCAAACTTGTAATTTGTTGGACAGATGTCTGGCCGGAAAACTAATTGCTAAAGCAGGGGTCTCAAACTCAGAGTTGGGGGCCACTGTTAGAGATCTCATCTCAGTGGAGGGGCATTATTACTGACCAGAGACACCCCCTGTTCTAAACTAAAATGCCTTGGAATGATTGGAGCAGGTCAGGTGGTCGACTCACTGCTGCTACTCAGACCGCTAAGCTAAAAGGCAATAAGAAAGCAGTTGTCAAGCAACGGTTTTCTCTCACTATATATATATATATATATATATATGTATAAATACATGTGCATATACTCATATCAGGACAGGTAAGTATAATAACAGTAAAGCTCAGCTCGCTGAACCACGTGACCTGAAAGAAAAAATAAATAAAACTGCATCATCTCCATGTTTTTGTTGCCAAGTGATGGATGGAAGCAATTAAAGGTGATGTCTCCTTTGATAGTGCAAAGCAGAGGACCACGGTGGAGGCATCAGAGGCACTTGCTTCATGAAATATTGCTTCTATAAAATCTACTTTTTTTTTCAAGCATACATCATCGCAACGTCTTCAGCGCTAAACATAAATCATTCCATGTTTTAAACAGTTGGAGGATTTGAGTTACAAATACAACATCCTCCTCCTTTAAGGCGATTCAATAATTTGCACCTATTCTCATCTAAACCCTGGAAGCCAGACTAAATATACGGAAACCTGTCTCAACTGGTCTTGAGCCAGCCGGACCTGGAGCCTGGGGCTGTTTTAACTAAAGACACTGTCAACCCGGACATTTGTCTCTTCCTGGGACGCAGACATGTACGACTACTGTCAGCGGGGCTTATAAACCAAAGCCAGGTTAAAATGAGGTCAACTGGAGAGGATCTTAATACGCATGAAATATTCAAGTTCAAACGCTTCACCAAGTAAGATTTATAAGTAACAACGAGTAACGGCGTGTTTAACTCTGTTAGCCAATGGTAATCAAGTAATCTATGTGGACAGCAGAGCAGCAGCGGATGTCAGTGCTCATCAGCTGAGGGAGAGTCCATCACAGAACCAACCACTGAAATAAAAGTTAATGGTTGAATTAATATAGAAACAAACTAGCACAGCTCGTCACTCCTGCCGTTCTTGGCGGGCCGGCTCTCGGAGCAGGTGTTGGTGACGTTGTCGTGGAGATGGTGAGCAACACCAAAACAGTCCTGGGAACGCATCAATGACATGCACAGACACACCTGCATGAAACGCATGAAACTATCACAAAAGAAAAACATGTAAACAAAAACTATATATATGTGGCCGTTAACACACACGCACACACACACACACACACACATCGAATCACTGAGCCACACACACACACACACAACGAATCACTGAGCTGTTATTCTGTAGTTTAGCCTGTAATCCATGTCACGACCTTTGAAATAATGCACTTTTTTATCTGGCTGAGCAGAGCATTTGGCCTCACTTCCTCATCTACAGGCAGATAATCAATAACAGACATCCAGCCCCCCGTTCCTTCCCCGTCGTCAACGTTACCTCCCTCTCTTTCTTTGTCCTCTTTCTCTTTACACTTACACATATTTATCTCTACTTCCCCTCCTTCTCTCTGATGTCATATTTTCGCTGTTGTCCGTGTGATGGACGGTCCTGCCAGTCGCCCTGCGCCTGTTATTTATGCCGCTGCACGGCCGTTAGAACATAACCATGGCCTCTGACCCACTGCTGCGGTCCAAGGGTGGTCCTCTGCATTCACATGGTTCTGCTGACCGAGTCACCTTGCGGGACAAGCACGGCTGCACAGAGTCACATCCTCCATTAACTACTCCATGCGAGTAGCACAGCTGTAGGCTTTCATTTTCAGATTACAGCTCTACTCCTGGCCTGGTGGTCCTACTAACCCAAGCTTGATTGAAGACCCTTGAGATTATGGTACTGCAAAGTACACGGTTTGTGGTTTACAGCTCATTTTAATGTAACAGCGTCCAAGATAGGGGGCGGGGGGAACCTCAGGGCTCATGGTAAATTTCTGTGGTAATGTGATATGGCTAATAGGACAGGTTCTTCCTCTAGGTGTCTGGGTGAAAAGAACAAGGACAGGGGCGAAGCTGGATGACTGATGGAAAGCCCCTACAAAGGGAAGAGGGCTGGCAGTTTGCAAATAAATAAATTAATTGATCCTCTACACTACTCAAATTAATCATGAGCCAAGCTGTAGTGTGACACGTTTAGTGTAATTACACCAGATAGGGGCGGCTGTTATGAGTTCCGAGAAAGGCAGACTATGTAGTGGAACGTGGCAGCTACGTTTAATAAAACCTCACGGACTGGGCTGCTGTCACAGTCTGTACTTCTGCTCTCAGTCAAGGATAATGAATGAAGTCATTGTAAACAGACTCAACCTTGATTATGTAGGGCTTCACT